GGATAGGGAGTAAATTTTTCGTTTGTTTTTAACTGAGGAAGCTCTCCTTCCTTCCCTAGCTCCCAAAACACCTCAAAAAAGTGATCATCTAACCTCTCCTTTGAGGCAACTCATTCAATATTAGTTCTCCAGTTTGTCCTAAACTGAGTTAAAATTTACCTGTTAGTCCCATTCATGGGCAAAGTTCTATTTTTTTTTTAAAGACCTACTAAAGAGTGGCTTTAAATTCTTCTCTACCTATAGTATTTTCAAATATTGGAAGACAGGTATCAAATTCCTTTCTAAATCTTTTATTCTCTAGCATACTCAGTCCTAATTCCTTAAATCATTGCTCTTAGTCCCTTTTTTGGTTCCCTGTAATACCATCTTAGATGATATATGAAGTTATCTGACCTCATACAGATTGCCAGTGTCTTCTTTCAGTACAGTGGTTGGGATGAATACAACTATCAGGCTATGGTATAACGAACGAGTAGTATACAGCACTCCCCGTATTCTTGTCAGTGTGCTTTTATAAATGTTTTTGGCAGACATCGTACTCTTGTTCATACTTTGAGTTCTCTAAATATTCAAGTGTTTTTATACATGAAATGAACAGCTTTTAAACTAGCATCTTACTTATTAATTGATTTTCTAATACAAAGAATAGGACTTGGCATTTATCTTCATTAAATTTCATCTTATAAATTTAAGCCTATGCTTCATCTTATCGAAGGATATGCATAACCTCGAAAGCATGTCATCTATGTCAAAAGTTAATCAATATTACTTGAGAAGCTGAACTGTTAACACTGTATCTAATTACATTACCACCTAGCTCATTTCACAGAGAACACTTACAGAAGAAATGTACAGTTGACCACTGAACAACACCTGTTCAAACTGCTATGGATCCACTTATATGAGGATGTTTTTTATTTAAAGTTACACTGAGTATGCCTGCCTCTGCCTCCCTTCTACTTTCTCCATCTCTTACACCTCTGCCACCCCTGAGACACCAAGACGAACCTCTCCTCTTCCTCCTTGGCCTACTCAACAGGAAGATGAAAAGGATGAAGACCTTTATGATGATCCACCTCTACCTATGAATAGGAAATATATTTTTTCTTCTTTATGATTTTCTTAATAACATTTTCTTTGCTCTAGCTTACTTTATTGGAATAATATAGTATACAGTGTATAATATATATAACATTAAAAATCTGTGTCAATGGTTCGTTTATGTTATTCGTAAAGAT